TATATATATATTAGATTCGACTTGTATTCAACAATGTACAATTGTTCAGTGAGAAGATTGTCGGCATTCAGCTTCATTCACCAACGAATTTCTCTCCACTTTCAGCACCGTTGTAGCCAGTCTCATTAAGTGACTATGTGTAGAATCTATTTTTATTTTCAATAAAATTCATAGTTGAAAAAATACTTTCACAAATGCATGTATTGCCAAACATTCTATAGTCATTCAGCTATCTTTATGTATAATTATTATATTGTATATTATTAATTCCATTATATTGTACAATATAAGACCATCAGTTGACAACTAATGTTGAGGGTTATTTCACATTTATAATTAATTATGTAATTATAAAAATGGATAACAGAATAATTTAAAAACGTATTTGGTTGGTATAATGAAACTGTTCAAAGCAGTCGCGGGGCACACAAAAAGAGCCGGGGGGCCGCATGCGGCCGGGGGGCCGCATGCGGCCAGCGGGCCACCAATTGGGAAGTCTCGAAATCGCTTTTCGACACGTAATGAATCGTTACCGCCAGAGATGGCAAGCAAAAGGTAAAGAATCTTGGTCGTAAGTCCAGGTAATTGCAGTAAAGCATCTCGTCAAAGATGATGATGATCATCATCATGATAATAATAATAATAATAATAATAATAATAATAATAATAATAATAATAGTTGGACTCGTGGATTGGACTGAGCAAAACATTCGAATTATGAATCGAAAAACCAGAAATCTGCTAACAATGCATCATGAAGCCCACCTGGAGCTGATTCACATAGACTCTATGTGTCACGTAAGGAAAGAGGAAGAGACCTCAGAAAAATTGAAGCCTCCTGGCACAACGCAATAGTCGGTATGGAAAAGTATGTAGTCAGTCATCAAGATGACGCTCTAATGAAGCAGGTCAAGAAATCTGACCGAAGAATGGGAAACAAAGGCATTGTTAGTGTAGCAAGAAGCATTGCGAAGAAAACTATGCAAGACACGCAGAATAACATAGACACTGAATTTCTGATGCAACTAAACATGAAAAGTGAGACACTTTGTGAAAATGTGTTGGGTCACTTTGTTACAAAATGTTAAAGAAATCTAGGAGAGACAAACCACTCCATGGGCAATATCTAACAGGAATTGACAAGGTGCAGATCAATAAAGATCAATCCTTTATGTTGCTTAAAAGGGGAAGCATGAAGCCAGAATCGGAATCAGTTCTAATAGCTGCTGACGATCAGGCTTTGAGAACACGACCGTGATAAACCAATTCTCAAAATTTCCCAAGATGATAAATTACGTATCTGCCAGGAACAAGTAGCAATTGATCATAGCAGCCATTGATCATATCGTCTCAGCTTGTCCAAACCTAGCAAAGACCGAATACTTGAAAAGACACGACAGGGTGTGTAGTTACTTCCACTGCAGATATATACCGCCCTCAAAATCCCAAACACACGCCCCAAGTAATACGAACGCACACCAAAACCGGTGACATCTGTTGGACTCTACACAATATTGTACGACCAGCAAATTCAAAAGGATCGCACGATAGCAGCAAACAAACCGGATAATGTTATCCGGGATTTGAAGAAAAATCGTGTGTACTTGTAGATGTTGCTGTGCCTTGCGTTCAAAACATCGTAACCACGGACGCAGAGAAACGTCTTAAATACAAGAGTTTGGAAATCGAGATCAGCTGAACGTGGGGCGTAAAAGCACAGGTCGTACCGATAGTCATCGGAGCTCTGAGATTTGTTCCGCAACATTTGTATCAGAACTTGTCTAAACTTCCCGGTCAAGCAGAAGTCTGGAAAGTGCAATAAATTGCTTTATCTAGGACAGCTCACATTTTGCGCAAAGTAATGTACAGGCACCGACAGTCCCTAGATATGCTCCTTAGGTAGCTGGTTGCAACCTGGAGTAGTTTTTATATTCAGCCAATTTGTAACATCTTAGTCATGATGTAGAGAAAAAATGATAGTAATAATAATAATAATAATAATAATAATAATAATAATAATAATAATAATAATAATAATAATGAAAACAATCGTAGGCAATGAACAATATTCAATTAGCCATATTTCAACAATATGGAAATCGAGAAACCTATGCTGAAACCTATGCTTTCTTAGATGCAAGTAAGCAATATTCTCAGTAGTATCGGCGGGAAATGACACAATAATTCAAGAAGATAAAACTCTGAAAAGGGGACGGAAGAAGTGAAAGGTGTGTAAGACATCAAAGACAACTGCCAGTCAGAATTACTAAATTCCGTCTTCAGATTTCTCATCGTACACTGTATGTCTACTAATCTACTTCAACAGTTCACTGTTTATGGATTCAACATGAGGACAAATTGATTGGGACAAGTCTGTGCCGCTAACTGATCATCCAGAACCTGATGGTAATTTCTGGACTTTCGGACCACGATATAATTTCCTTACCACATCAATCAGTGACTTGACCATCATCATCATCATCAATCGTTAACATCATTTCCTAAAAGATTGTCTCTTCTGCGAAGTAAGTCCCATAGCATTTTGCAAACATTTCTATCATTCTGCACAAGATATTACAACGAAACAGAGATATTCCGCCTGATGAAGTAGAACTAACGACAAGCTGTATGTTGAGACGAGTATTCAACCTAACACTTTTAACACCGTCTAGCAGATGCAAAAGGGGCTCGCAAGCCACCACACAGACCTACATACCACAAGAACATGTAGATATATCAAGTTCGTCCACACATTAGAATACTTCGGAAAACTACAACATTCACCTATGGGGATTCAGGACTGGAATTTCTGGAACATATCGATGGAAAAAGATTAATTCCTCATGGCATCCTTAAAAGCCGAGGAGAGCTATACATCAAACCTTGTAGATAGTTGATGGAACTATCGATGGAAAAGGCAACCAAATCTTCAAGGCGGCCGTTGAAACCTGAAGAAGCTGGGGAGCGATAGAAAGAACCTTCTAAACAAGTCATGACCCTCGAAGAGGTGTCAATTGCTGCAACCCCACCCACCTTGAAGTCCTTCTGGCAGATGGAGCAGCGGAAGGCGCGCACGCCGCCGTGCAGGCAGGCGAGGTGCTTGCGCAGGCCGTCGCGCCGGGTGAACGTCTTGCCGCACACGTCGCACACGTGGTCGCGCTCGCCCAGGTGGCGCTTCACGTGCGTCTTGAGGTTGGTCGGGCAGGAGAAGGCGGCGCCGCAGCGCTCGCAGCGGAACGGCCGCGCGCCCGAGTGGCTGCGCACGTGCTGCGCCAGCTGCCCGCCGCGCGCGAAGCGCTTGGGGCACTGCGAGCACGCGTACGGCCGCTCGCCCGTGTGCACGCGCAGGTGCAGCCGCAGGCGCTCCTGCGACACACGCCCACGCTCACGCTCGCGCTCACGCTTTCTAAGAGCTCGCGACGCCGACGGAGACACCACTGTCCGGGCGACGCCGCGTACGACTCCAGTGTTGGCCTACAGCCTGCCAGTAGTAGTTTTGGTTCAGGGCTTCAATGCGCCAGAATGGTATGCGAAGGAGTTTAAATCTTTGATTGGAGATCAAACGTTGTGGAAAAACGGTCACGTTTGGTAATTTTTAGTTTTTTTTCTACACATTATTGAGACAAGGCAACACGAGCTTTCGTTTGGCATTAAAACATATCTGCGAGAAATGGGGGTATTGTAAAATCAAATCAAAGTTTGTGATTTTCTTGTCAATATTGTGTGAAATATTTTAAATGTCCAAAAAGTGACTTCAGTCACATTTAATACCCGCACGTCTATTTATTCGGCGCATTTCACCACTGAAGAAAAATCACAATTGGCCGAATGCTACTTAGCCAGACTGTGGCCGACGCCAATTGCCAGAAAGAAAATTAATTATTTCTTAACTACCAGAACGGAGATAATGATTTATTGAATGTATTTATGCTGAATACTCAAATTAACCTTATATCAAAGGGCAGTTGGTTCTCAGAACTTATAATGCAGTGCCATTTTTATTCATCAGTTCACCTCGGGGTGGCTGTGCTGATTGTTTGTAGACCAACGAATCGATTATCGTGTTGTGTTCCTTAGCGGAAATTCGCTACAATTACGAGAGCTCAAACTTATAATGCTAAGACACCAGTCCCGCCCACGCATTGCATTTAAACTTCCGCGCATATTATTCTGCAGATTTGGTGCTTAAGCAAAATACAACACGGTTGTCGAAACGCTGGCCAACAAGTCTAATACGCGTCGTCGCCCGGACAGATGAACTCTTCGCTTTACTATTGCGTTTCCTTTTCGTTCAGTAAAATGTATTTTCACACACATAATCCGTGCATCATGCGACATGCTCAAGCTATCAATCGACATGCAGGATATTGAATTGAATTGAATTGAATTTGCCTTATTTTACGTGGCGAGACTCGGGCCATCAGGCCCGCTCTTCCGTCTGACCACGCAAATTTCGCTACGCTCCTTTCATATAGAAGAGAAAGAAGGTAATTCTTGGGCGAGAAAAAGGCGATTGGAATTTAGCTCAGAGGCGTCATTTAGGCTTGAGGATCTTTTACATGCAAGTAAATCTACGAACATGGGACAGACGGCTTTACTTCCCCTCCGAAGGAAGGCGTACGAAGGATTTTTTCGCCCTTAAAAATCCATGGCTTCGATCGGGCTTGAACCCGCCAACTTGGTCCAGTACGCTAACCGCTACACCATCGCCGCCGCCTCAATATCAGGATATCAATGCGTTTTGTACAAAGTACAAAAGCAAGATTGTCTAATCTCTAATGGATTTCATCGCAAAAATGAATCCATCAACTATGTCAGGAATATGGAGTTTCGGTAATCAATAACGCAGAACAGATAATACGGCTACAAAATCTCACAGCTTCACCGGTATACAAAATTTCACTGTTTCACTCCCTTCATTTTAACGGCTCCCCAATATACCGCTAGATACATAACATTTTGCCAAATGCTGATATTCATCCATCTTATTTTAAAATAATTGTGTATTTTGTGTTAATGTCTAAACTAGCTTGGAGTGGCGCCACCGGCGGGCATTTTCATGTTAATAATTTTAATTTGTGATTTGTAAATTCATAATAAAAATAAATTTAAATATACTGCCGTTGCCCGGTTCATCCATTGCCCGGGCACAGAAAGTTAGATAAAAAGTATCTTTAAAAACTTGTTCAAGTGTTTGTTTCCTTATCAAATTAGGTTCCATTACCATCATTGTGATGAATCAAGTAACGATTCATGTAAATGTCGGAAAGAGTACAGTAATTTACAGCGTTTCACCAATGTACTCGTGGGGCCGAATGGCCCTGAGGAACTCAAATGTTCTGCAAGGAACCGGCTATAAAGTGTACCAATCGATTTGTCTCGTCGCGCGATGAATTGAATGAATTAATTAGCACTTCTGTCAGTGCCGTAAGTTACACAAAACGTGTTTATGTGTGTATGTATATGTGTGTGTGTGTGTGTGTGTGTGTGTGTGTGTGTGTGTAGTATATATGTATGCACAACAAATTGTCATTTCTCAATAGGAGACCTAGTCGCTCGAAGGACGCCTCATTTGCTTTGAGTGGTGGACCGGAAGGAGTCTAACCGTGAGTGACGGACCAACTAGCGCGTGTTACTCGATATCCGTGTAAGGATGTATTCAATATGTCAATCAAATGGGGACTATTCATTTTGAAAAATAAAATCCTATGAGTAGTTTAGGTGCTAGTGAGGTTCACAAACGGTGGATCGGTCTGTTGGACAAACTCACTGTCAGATACAAAGAGACAGTAGGACGGCCTTTTTGAAATAAAATCGTTTTCGTGTATCAAGGGACCCCAAAACGTGTAGTTCTATTGAAATCTCGAAGTCCATTTCCCCCTGGGATTTGATAACTTTTTGAATACTACTCTTAAAGTTAGTACTGAAGAAAGTAAATTGTGTTTCACTATTCATTATAATAAATTATTAATATGGAAGTTTTAGTTCCTTACATTATGAATTTACTACTAACCTACATAAAAGCGAACACACTAGAAAACTCTTTAAAATCGAAACAGTAACGATATCTATGATATTTATTGCGCTCTATACTTCTATGTAACAACTCAATCTGATAGAACTTGATTAATTTGAACGTGTACGAATATAGCATTATTATCGACACCAATTGCATTGTTTAATTCAATGTTTCGCAATCTAATAGTGCTCATTTATGACATGAGAATTATTATAGTGATGCATTCTCTGCAGTACTAATTTCACAATGTAATGCTACGTTCTTCCCGACTGATGTAACAAAAAAATTAAACAGTGTAGCGCCAAAGCCTTCAGCGCAACTGCAAAGGCGCGATTATTGCGTTATTGATCGATATAGAATGACTTGTGACACATCAGTTGTGACGTAGTTATCAAATTGGAGCTTCAATATCAAAAATTCAAAATCGTAACAAATATCCTGATTGGATAAGCGACCAGTTGATAACACAGGCACACACAAAAAAAAAGGCGTCAAGGTATGCATTTGGACGCGCTGAATCCGAATTCAAAGTCAGATGTGCGCTATCACTTTAAAAAAATCACGACATTTTTTTTATTTTCCGGGGTTGTTGTCAGACCCAAAGACTTGGCCAATGTTTCTCTGTTGCGCTGAATACGAATGTAGAGCCAGAATTGTGCCACCACCTTCCAATTTTATTTTTAATTCCAAAAAAATTTCGAGAAATTGTATTTTGCGTTTTCGGAGTTGTTATCAGACCCTAGGACATAACATGTTTCTGTATGTATGTCGATACGCTAAATCCGAATCTGTAGCCAGAATTGCGGCAGCATCTTCCAGTTCTTTTTAAATTCAGATTCAGCGCGTCGAAATACATAGAGAAACATATGAAAATACTTTAGGTCTGATAACTTTGTGTGTGTGTGTGTGTGTGTGTGTGTGTGTGTGTGTGTGTATGTGTGTGACCACGCATGCGCGTATGTAATATGTCATACGTCACAATGTTTAAATCGGACATTAAACCCGCGTGAGCTGTAGCGATGTGAAAAAAGGTTTTATTATTTTGAATGTTGCGTCCAATCATCGAACATTGAGACACTTGCAATTTTATTCTAAATATATTAATATTATTTCGGTAATACATTGCTGAAAACATTGAGCAACACTGTAAAAACATACCTGCGGTTTTGATTTTCATACCGATAAAAATTGACGCGGTCTGTATACATATACTTCAGCCAACTAGTGGACAAAAAAAGTGGAAGGAGAGCGAAGGACCTAAATACAGTTGACTGTTTTTAAGTCCTTTAGCTCTCCCTCCACTTTAGGTCCTTGTGAACAATCCGCCTTAGCGCCAGTCTGACCCGTTCAGTAGTCCATCGGTCTGAGTGAAGGTACACAGTTATAAACAAAACACACTGCGATGATATTCTTGTAGAAACATTCTTTTAATACCAAAAACGCCAACAAAAAGAAGGATTAAACATTCTTTCCTATTGTGTAGTAAGGTTTTGTACATTTAATTTTTAATTTCAAAATTTTGTTTTTCAATTACATTTTCAGATTTATTTATTGTTTAAAGCCTTAGGTTATGATGTGTCAGTCTGCCTGTCCGTAAACTTAAAGCCTGAGGTAATTATGAATTTTGTCTTTTAACGAATTACTGTACATACAATACCTATATGCATTTCTTGACTTGTTAGGTAGGTTCTAATTTTTTTACCCTCCTGTAAACGGCGCCTTGTGATTTCACTAAACTCGTCTACTGCTGTTTTAGCGTATAGTTATTGAGAGACTTGAAGCTGATGCGACAACAGCTACGGCGCAAAATCCAATCCTCCTTAAGACATCGATATTTTACCTTGTGATCGGGTCGTCCTAAACTAACGCGAATGACAACCCATCTCATTATTATGAATAATCATTCATTTTTGAATTATCCCGGACAACTGCATACCAGTTTGCTGTTCTTGCTGGCGAAAATCGCGGTCGGGATATGGAACTACAAATGGAAAGGATGCAGCCCCCTACTGATATGCCACGCGTTTAGCAGCTACGTATGACGGGAAGCCTATACTAAGGCGTAAAGAACTCGATTGATTGTTAATGATTCCGGGCGCGTCAACTAATAAGGACATTATTACGGTAAATGTAGTGCATGTTTTGCACGAGGGTTTGCAGTGGTCTTCCCTCGCTGGATGACGAGATCCGTCGCCGACCTACTGTAGGCTAGCAGTATTCTCTAACCAGGTATCTCCCACCAACGGGGCACCCCTCCAGCCGGCACAAACTCGAAGCTCCCGATCGGTCACTCGGCATACGTGGTAGTGTAGTGCATGTTAGAGTAGGTGTGTAAGGGGGCGAGTATAGAACAAGGAATGGGCAGGAAAGATCGCGCGCAGTCCGTTGCCCTTTTGTCAGGGTACTGCTCCGGCATTCCCTTGGTATTGATCGGAGAAACCACGGAAAACTACCA